TTTTAAGTACATAAATTCTAAAAAAAAACAAAAATGAAAGTGTAGGTACACTAAAAACTGAAATGGGGGTGTTAGTTAATGAAGACCAGGAAAAGGCAGGAATTTTAAATAACTATTTCTCCTCTGTATATATTAAGGAAGAACCCATGGCAATAGATGTGCAAATGATTGCTATTAAAAATTTGCAGAATAATTGTAATTGGTTAACTCAAGACAAGGTGCTGCAGCAACTAAAGAAAGTTAATATAAACAAAGCTGCAGGGCCTGACGGTATCCATCCACGTGTATTTAAGGGACTAAGTGTAGAAATAAATGAACCTCTGTTTTTAATCTTTCAAGATTCTTTTCTTTCAGGAAGTGTTCCGGAGGATTGGAGGAAGGCAGATGTGGTTCCTATATTCAAAAAGGGTTCAAAATCCTTGCCTGGAAATTATAGACCTGTGAGGTTAACTTCTGTGGCAGGTAAAATATTTGAAAAGTTATTAAGGGATAATATTCAAGAATGCCTTGAGAAGAACATGGTTATCAGCAAAAATCAGCACGGTTTTATTAAGCACAGGTCATGTCAAACTAACTTGATTGCGTTCTACGAAGAAGTAAGCAGAAGTATAGATCAGGGATGTGATCTATTTGGATTTTGCCAAGGCATTTGATACAGTTCCACACAATAGATAGTGTTCAAACTCAAGGAAAATCGGTCTAGATGAAAATGCTTGTTCTTGGGTAGAACATTGGCTTAAAAACAGAGTACAAAGAGTTGTCATTATAGGTAAATTTTCAAGCTGGACAGAGGTGGCAAGTGGTGTCCCTCAGGGGTCTGTTCTGGGACCCCTTCTATTTAACATGTTTATAAATGATCTTGAAGACAGCATTGAAAGTCATGTTTCAGTGTTTGCAGATGACACAAAACTTTGTAAATTAATAATACAATGTGAGCAAGATATTACTTTGCTGCAGAGGGATTTAGATAGACTGGGGGACTGGGCACTCAAATGGCAGATGAAATTTAATGTTGAAAAATGCAAAGTTATGCACTTCGGCGTAAATAATACACAAGCAACGTATACCCTTAATGGAAGCGAATTAGGGATAACAACACACAAACAGGACTTGGGAATTGTTATAGACAACAAACTATGTAACAATGTGCAATGTTATTCAGCAGTGGCCAAGGTCAGTAAGGTATTGTCATGCATGAAAAGGGAATTCATTCTCGGGACTAGAATATCATTTTGCCTCTTTATAAATCACTGGTAAGACCCCATATTGAATATGCTGTGTAATTTTGGGCACCTGAAGGATATTATGGCACTAGGAAAAGTGCAGAGGCGGGCTACAAAATTAATAAAAGGAACATATCAGCTATGAAGAAAGGCTAACAAATTTAAACCTATTTAGTTTAGATAAACGTCGCCTGAGAGGGGATATGATAACATTATACAAATATATTCGGGACCAATACAAACCATTGTGTGGAAATCTATTCACAAACCGGACTTTACATAGGACACCAGGCCATGCGTTTAGACTGGAAGAAAGAAGATTTCGTCTAAGGCAAAGGAAAGGGTTTTTTACTGTAAGAACAATCCGGATGTGGAATTCTCTGCCTGAAGAAGTGGTTTTATCAGAGTCCATACAGATGTTCAAACAGCTACTAGATGCATACTTGCAAAAACAGAATATTCAAGGATATAATCTTTCAATGTAGGGTAATAACTACTTGATCCAAGGATAAATCTGACTGCCATTCTGGGGTCAAGAAGGAATTTTTTTCCTAGCTTGTTGCAAAATTGTGCTTCAAACTGGGGTTTTTTGCTTTCTTTTGGATCAACAGCAAAAAACAAATGTGAGGAAGGCTGAACTTGATGGACGCAAGTCTCTTTTCAGCTATGTAACTATGTAACTCCCTAAGTTAATAGCCTATAAGTTTCACCATTTAACTGATATTCCCTGGATAAATGCCAGTTTTCAGCACTGGAAGGGCTAATTTAAAATAAAGGATTATTTGTGTATAGAAATGTGTAGCAGTTACATGACACATGCCTGCTCACAGGTCCTGGCAGCCTTATGAATTTAATCTCAGGCTGTAAGTGTGTGCTCTGAGACCATATTTTTTTATATGAAGGTTGATCTACCTAGAGCAGTGGAAATCCTCATCCCCAGTTTATCTAAGATCCTGGTATGCAAAGTATAAAACTGTATAATTTCTTTATAATTTGTTTTAATACTTTAATACTTGTGTTAGTATCTAGTATCATGATGTATATATACTATATAACTAGAAAATTAACTGAGTGGTGGGTGGGGGCCATAAATAAGAATGTGGGGGAGACCTACTGTCCTCCCCTCTGGCCCCCACTCCTGAGCAGTGGGTGGGGCCATAAATAAAAATTGTGGGGTACCTAATGTCCTCCCCCCGGCCCCCACCCCTGAGCGGTGGGTGGGGGCCATAAACAAAAATGAGGGGGGTGACCTACTGTCCTCCCCCAGGCCCTAAATAAAAATGTAACCCCCTCCCCAGGTGACTAGGGGTCCCCAAACCCCTAGTCACCCCCCCCCAAAAAAAAATAACCCCTACCTACCCCCCTCAACCTAAAAATAATGAGGGGGGACCCTTATCTAAATACCTGTAAAAAATAATAAAAATAAAAAATAGACTTACCATTTGATGTCTTCTAAGTTAGTTAAAATCCACCAGAGTGCTCTGTCTCATTTTACACAGCATGGGACAGTGGAATTTTCCCATGCTGTGTAAAATCACACAGAGCACTCTGAACAGTCATACTGTGCTATCAAACAGGGAGGAGAATTAAACTGAAAATCCCTCTATTCTCTGGAATTATGTATTTATTAAATGACAATTCACACTGTTTCATCTTGCCTTGTGAGCTACGTACCGGTGTGTACAGGAAACAAAACAATATCTGCTTGTACAAAGTAAGAGCTTTGTAGAGAAATAGAAGAAGTTGTTATGACTATATATTGTAAATATTAGACTTTAAACTACACCTCACTGTGAATTAATTATTTGATACAGTAATGATCAGTTACTGGAGAGGTAGAAATATATAACACAACTAATAGAAAGTACTAGGCAAAAGCAAGAAGGGGCACATCATTCAGATAATAGTGAAAGAATATAAGTATAAACCATAGAAATTGTGGCAACTACTAATTATAAATAGGAAATGTAGGTCAACAACGCCAGGACACATATTCAAAGATTAAAATACTGTAATTAGTACAAATTATGCCAAACAGTAGAATCAAAATGATTTGACACTGTTGATCAATAAAAGTAGGTAAAATGTATTAGCTAGGGGGTGGGGCCTGGCAGCCAATATGGCAGGACATATTTTTTGAGTGCTCTGACACAGCTGAAGCTAATTTCAACCCTCACTGCCCAAAAGGAAGGTTCGTTCCTCTCACCACCCATTCAAAAGGAGAGCTCCCCAAAAGCCAAAGCTTGTTAGGGCACAGGTTTCCACAAAAAGATGGAGAACTATTAGCATCTTTAAGCCAGGGTGGTAGACGCACCACAACTCAGGAGTGCGTACGGGCACACAGCAACATTATGCCAAGCATTGAGATGAACTACTTCTTATAGCCTACTCTCGGTATCGGGTGAATGCCAGATGATGCCTCTATTTCAGCTACCACCCCAGTTACAAAGCAGGACTTGCTGTTTGCTTGCATTTATTAATAGCTATCTTCCCAGCTGTACGAACGTTTAATTTGTTTTATATCTTTGATAAGCCTGTGTTACTATACCTATACTTAGTGACTCTGCCTTATGTCAGAGTGACTATTAAAAAATGTTCTACATCTGTGTACAGACATACAGCCTAGTCAACAAAAGCCGATTTTATAACCTCTGCTACTTATGTATAGATACTCCTGTCGGCCTTATACTTTTGAAATATTGCATCCTCTCAGATGTTCTGTACTTACTCTTGTCACTATTCCTTATATATAAAAAAAATGTGTTATACACTTTGCTATACACTTACTCTTCTGCACAATGAATGTCTGCAAAGTGTACACTGTCTCACGCTTTGTCTTCAACATGCACATCAAAAATAAAGAATTATGGGGGGCGTGGATTGGAGCTCGACGGGACCGGTGGCACGTATGTGAACTCCCACAGCCCATGTCTTAAGGGGCTAAAATAATCGGAACAACAAGCAATCCTCCAGCAGAAAACCGGGTACTTACCTCTACTATGGCACAGAGAAGCAAAGGCAAGCTCTCAAAGATGGAAAAGGCCTCCTTTCTTGCACTAGCTCTGGCCGGGAAGAGCAGGGAAGGCCCGATCCAAGATGGCGGCGAACATCGCTCACGCCTTCACCGAGCTCAGCCTCAGATGAGGGACCCCTCATGGCTACAGGGATGAGAACCCTGATGGCAGAATTGGCTAACAAACTGCAGGTTGGCATAAAGGTGCAATCTATGCTAAGAGCCTCGCGAATAGATTTAGCACAGTCCTGCCAAATCTGATCCATGACGACCAGACGGGGCTTGTGATGGGCCCTCAAGGCCTAGACAATACCCAAAAACTAGCCCTCGTACAGTGGGAGCTTAGGATGTCTGGTCGAGGGGTTCTCCTCTTGGCACTGGATGCGGAGAAGTCTTTCGACCACCTCAGGCCTTCCTGAAGCAAGTATTAGACACATTTGGATTCCCTCCGCAAATAATCCAACAAATCTTTGCACTATACTCCTCGCCCTCAGCACAGGTAATCCAAGCTGATTTCCTCTCCCCTACCTTTAGAATAACAAATTGGACGAGACAAGGGTGCCCCCTTATCCCCACTCCTATACATCCTTACATTGGAACCCCTCCTGCACCTCCTAAGGCAAAATGAGACAACACAGGGAATACACCTGGGTGACAAGCAGATTAAAATCAGTGCATTTGCCGATGATGTACTACTGTATACACTAATGCAGATGCTTAAAGCCTATGGACAGGTCTCATATTATTCAGTTAACATGTCCAAGATGCAGGCCTTGCCTATTGGCATCCCAGCCCCGGTACTTTGCACCCTCGCGCACACCTATGACTTTGTTAGTCCTAAATATCATATGGACTACGTTCTCCAATCAATTACCAAAAACCCAGCAAACCTCATGGCGGCAAACCATGTCTCAGTTTGGAACAAGTGCAGTCAGCTACAGAAACAGTGGTCACCGATGTACCTGTCCTGGACGGACCGCATAGTGACACTGAAAATGTCTTGCCGAGGCTACTGTACCTCTTCCGCACCATTCCCCTCCGCCTCCCTTCTATTTCAAGAAGATTCAGGCCAACATGGGAAGGTTTGTGTGGGTGGGAGGTAAAGCCTGGGTACCCGTGAACATCTTACAAGCCCCCAGGAAACTGGGAGGCCTGACACTGCCTAATATCCAAGCCTATTATCACGCAGCAGTACTAGCCACGGCTGTCCCACATATAACCTCCGAGACCAGACAATAATGGTTATCACTAGAACGGGGCCTAATGGGGAATCTTGAAATATCACACTTGCACAGTCACATCTCAGACCTGATCAACCCTTGCTTCCCCCCCAGGTACTGTTGTTGTTTCAGATTTGGGACAAGTATAGACCCAGACTCGGCAGCACCCCCGGCCTCTCCCTGGTCACTCCCCTCAGGGCCCTACCTTACATCATCCCCACATTCAACGCTATACCATGGCACCGCAAAGGCGCAACGCACCACTACCATCTATTCACCGCAGATAAACTCCTAGACTACACAAGCTTATCCGACAAATACACACTCACACAGTTCTCGCTGTACTCATACCTACAACTAAAATCCTTTTTGTCCAGAGATGTGAAACGCTGTCCAGGCACCTCCAGGAATACAAATATGAATACTACATGGGAACAGTGAGGTAAATACGATTACTGCATGGGAATAGTGAGGTAAAATTATTACCTCACTGTAAACCAATCTCCATGTGTCATAGCTCTATATCATACTTTAGCCACTTCTCCACTACCAAATATGCAAAACAATGGGAGAATGATCTCCACTGTAGGGTGCCACCTAAAACCTGGGACACTATACTATCCGACACACTCAAACTACTAAAACCGACGTCTCTCATTGAACAATACCGTAAAATATTATACCTTTGGTACTTAGTGCCAACCAGATTACATAAGATCTTCCCCTCTATCTCCCCACTCTGTTGGAGATGTCATGCAGCGGAGGGCTCGATGTACCATATCTGGTGGAGCTGTCCACGACTACTCCGATACTAGACTGAAGTCCGCGCACTAATGCAAGACATCACGCAAAGCCCCCTCCTATTCACCCCGAAGTCATGAATATTACTAGATCTCCCTAGAAAGATGCCCCAACACATCAGAAAAATTACCCTGCACATCACCTTGACGGTGCAGCAATTAATTGCAAGGAGATGGAAGTCCACGATCCCGTCAAAGAAGGAGATCCTAATAGCAGAACTGCACAAACAGTGGATTTATGAGACTTCCTATTAGTCCCTCTTCCCCCTCTCCACACTCTACCAAAAAACATGGGAGCTTTGGCAAACATGGAGATCTGGTAATGTACTATGCTTGTAGCCCCGAAAAGACCCTAAGGTCTGGAGCAATACCGGGAAGCTACTTAACCCTCATGGCCCTGCTGGTATGCACGTCCATCTGAATGTTGATATACTGCTTAATACTGTGATGCACCCCCCACCCCTCTTTCTCCTTTTTGTACCCGCTCCCTGTGTAGCAAGCAATTGAACAAAGCTATTCTTACCTTGCATGGAATAGCCTTCCAGCTGAAGTAGTAGAGGTTAACACAGTAAAGGAGTTCAAGCATGCGTGGGATAGGCATAAGGCTATCCTAACTATAAGATAAGGCCAGGGATTAATGAAAGTATTTAGAAAATTGGGCAGACTAGATGGGCCAAATGGTTCTTATCTGCCGTCACATTCTATGTTTCTATCTCCCCTTTTCTCTTCTGTACCCCCAAATACGTTGGTTAATGACAAAATAAAAATTGTCAAATTAAAATAAATAAATAATACTAAAAAAAAAAAAAAGTATTCGGTAGACATCAATGAAAAGATGGTAACCAGAGGCATAGGATATATTGTGGCAAGAGATACATAATAAGCAGCATAGATGAAGAAATTCAGTTGTCCTTATGAAAACAAACCACATACTTATGCTGACCTTATCTTCAGATATTGGACAAATACTTACTGCAAAGCCTAAGGTGATTATCAGATCCTTATGCAGTTTGTTTTATCTGCAAAGATATCAACACCAGTCCAAGCATATAACTCACAAACATTACTTAAATGCAATGGAATGACCATCACTTATACAAATCTAGGTACAGAGACCATGTGAAACATAGCAGCCAAATGTTTGCCACAAACAAAACTACACTATAAAAGATTACTCCACAGCTTTAAGCCACACAACTGCAAAATAGAGATAGTAGAACACTTAGGCAAATCCCTTTAAACATCAGAACAGAGATCAGTAATGGGACATCATGTTCAGTGATTTCTCTGTTCTTCTGATAACAAGCAGTGGCGTCGCTAGGGGGGGGCCAGAGGGGACCATGCCCCCCCCTACATCATGCTGTGCCTCCCCTTGGGCCCCCCCCAAATGCCAGCAACTTGCTGGCCATGGGCTTCCCACGGACTAACAGCCTGTTACAGCCCGAGGGAATGCAGTGCTGAGGTGCTGGGGGCGGTCTGTGGCTGGAGGGAGCACTGATTGGCTCCCTGGCACAGGCCCTGCCCCCAAACAAAGCCCCGCCTCCCGCAGATAAGCCCCACCCCTGCCGTAAAGCAGCAGCCCATGCTGCTTCAGAAGATGGCTGCCTGACCCCCAGCAACAGCCTCCAGTGACAGGTAGGCTGGGGGGGGGTGCACACACTCTACACACACACACACACACACCCATTGCCCCCATACACATACATTGCCCCCCATACAGCCTCCCATACACACACACTGCCCCC